AGAGAGGTAGGCGCCAGAGGCCGGGGAGACCTCTCTGACACCGGGAAATAAATACTTCTCAATCGTGGTCCATATGTCCACGTTACTCCGGTCAATCGTGACCCTCATGTTTGAGCGTACAAACGGTAGGCATCACCCGCCACAGCCGCTACCATTCACACACCAGCTGACTACACAGTACACAACACTTGTCGGCTCATCGACTCCAGCACGCGAGTGTGGACCGACGCTGAACATACAAACGGGACGAAACCCAGTGACGGGTTATGGGACCGTCCGTGAGTCCGATCGGAAAGAGACGCTGACTCCACAGTAACGAATTAAGTTGGGAGACGGCGCTTTGCCAAAGTTAGCAATGGATTAAAATTGTACTTATTTTATAAATATGCTTGCATGAAGTAGTTGAAAGCTCTGAAGGTTCATCACAAGTCCATATTTTCGCATCCTGGACCTGGCACTGGGTTTCACACAATCAAAGAAGGTCGTCCTTTTTCCAGAGAAAACCAAAACATGAATAATGCTGACAAAATATCAAATCGGCTAATATTTGAACCATAGCCATAAACCCAGCTATAAGACGTCTGTGGACTGACGCTTACAGGCTCATCAACAATTACGACAAAAAGGCCTTAATCGCTACCAACCTAAACTGCTGATCCGCCAGTTCGCCTCGCTCCGCCACACACGGTCTCTCGTCCATCCGTCCATCGGCTCACAAGGCCAGCTGACGCAACTACACAGCGGCAGGGCACGCGTATTCGATCAGAGAACGACTGAACAGTTCGCCACACACTCAGTGTGGAGCGTCGACAGTAGGCTGCAGGAGGCGCCGAGGACAATAATAAAAGCTCAAAATACTCATTTGGCGAGATAGTTTGATACGGGAATGGTAGCCGATAAGCATTGGAAAGAGGGATTTTGTCAAAAAGGATCGAATGATAAAAAGGCAAGCGTTTCGATTAATAAAACTAGCCAAAGTGACTAAAATTTACAAATAAACACATGCAGCTTCGCATCTTGTGTACAGATGACCCAAGAAGAAGCCCATTCGCTTCCCCTTCCCTTTCCTCACGCGTATGCTTCCGTTCAAAACAGACTGCGTAAAATGACCACCCGCAGAGAGCGTCTGCTGCACGAAACACACCCAAGGCCAGCCCGTAGGACCCCCTGCACAGTGCACGCATACGTCTCCCCTCCAATGCCCGGTGGCCGGCCTACCCCAACAGTGACACGCGCAGTGACACCACTGAGCCCAGACCACCGGGGGCCACAGAAGGTCACGTGACCGTCTGGCCCGACAGGGCGCCTCTGTGGGTCTGTATCGTCGTTCGTCTAGACGTTTGTCTGCCGTAATGTCTGTCCGTTTGCTCGTCTGTCTCGCCTATCGTCCGTCCGCTCGTCCTCCGTCTACGTCTGTCCGTCTGTCTCGCCTCCCGACCGTTGTCCGTTCGCTATTCGTCTGTGCGTGTCTGCCCTTCACAGCACGTGCTCGGCAGGGGCGGCTGGGCACGGTGCCAGCAGAGCACATTAACAGACACCCGGCTCATTGGATAATGGGCAACTGCACCGGCCTGTCCCCAAAGGAGACAGCGGGCAATGAGCCAAACTGCAGAGGCCAGAGACCACGTGCGCACGAGGAAGGAACGGGCTGCTCACGACCGAAATGAATGAATGTGTTACGGGGAACGCTTCTTTTGCTAGTGAAAATAGTCTGTGTGAGCAAATGAGACCACTGAATAAAGACACTTTTGTAATAATCATATCCAGAAATAGAGCGATTTGCGAATAACTACAGAGAACTTTGGAGCAGTAAGAGTGAGTGCAGAGCCCCTGCGATCAATACCAGCAGTGCCCTTTGTTCGGTCCCCTTGCAGAACGACGTGGGGGAGGACGGGGGGGGGGGTACACAGACAGGGGCCGACGAAGGTGACGGGAAGGACAGGGGGAAACGACGAGGGCACAGCGACGGAGGCCAAATCAACACGACGCAAGGACAGACTGCAAAATATGACCTTCAAGTCCCCTCTTAGAATGGGGCCAAAGGGGAAAATAAGCGTCACGTAATAAAACAGGAAGTAAAAGCGGCATCCATGTGTTGTCACGTAATGTGTTCTCCTCGGTCATCCTTGGCCTGGACAAAGACCGTGACGCTAGCATCACGATGATAACAAAATGATACCCCTGAAAGTCGTGACTATTTGTTTTCAATAAGCAGCCAGCCGGCCGTCTGCATGTTCCATCCGCCTTTGGTGAGAAGTGCACTGCCGATGTCACCCAGGCTTCTTCCGCGTTGCATCAGCAGCAATGAGTTCGATTCTTGTTTTCCGACATACCTAGTCCGTTCCGTGAAGGTAAGTCAGAGAGCGACATCACGGCTTCCCAGACCGCCGTCCGCCAGCAGCGTGACACGTGAGGACGCAGCCGGGATTCACGGCTCTCTCCTTCCCCTTTCTTCCGCAGGGTAGCTCACGTAAGCTCCCTCAGAGTGACTCAACTGCTGCTTACCAAGACAGAGCGGAAAGCGAATTTCATCAGCTGCCTGCTTTGTCACGACCGATGACAAAAAAAAACCTGCAGTGTTGGAGCGGCGAGGCCAAACATTGTCTCTTGGAGGCGCCCTTTTTCGGGCCGCTTTGAGCCTGCAACTCTGATAGTGAAGGATGGCATCCGACACTCTTCCTTAGTCCCAAGGTAAACACAAGAAATGGGTGTTTGTTTAGATTTAGAGAGCAAGCGTTCGAATATTACTATGAATGACTCTGATAGGCAAACTGGTCGAATACTTTCTGTTGCAATCGACAATATTGACATTCTCAACAGAAACGAGTAATGCGACGTGGTGCTGTGCACGTTGTCACTTGTCTTCGGGCTGAAAACGGGCCTCGATTGGCTTTGCAATGGACCCAATGGCATTCATCGACACTGGTCAATGGACATTCGATGATATTGGTACTGTGAGCGTGGAATATTGACGACCGACCATTGTCCATCAGCAGCTAAAAGACACGGAACGTTTGTAAATTTTGAACGCTAAGGAATGGATTCATCACAATGTCCGTGAAAACGACTAAAACGGCGGTCCGCGGATAGGACAGAAAACATAGGAACTGGTGCGTTTACGACGCAGACTCCAGCCGGTGCCGGTAGCAGCTGATTTTGTCAGCTGTACTATCAGAACACAGCTGTGGGAAAGTGAACGATCGATAACAAATCACACCGATACAATTCATATGAAATGAAACGAAAGCTTATGTCCACAGTCCAAAGCAGAAAATATCCCCCCGCTCGAGTGAATGACTCTCGTCTTTCAGCAACAAAAGGAATGCCTCGACCTAAGCCTTGCATAAATCTCGCAGTCACTGATATCATGAACCAGACTCTCTAGCCATTCGCGCCGCTCCTATCGGGTGGTCGTGTGCGACTCGCCCGGCTCGGCGTGGCAGTCGCCGCGGCCCGCGCGCCGTCGCAGCCGACGATGACGCTCCGTCGCAGCCGACGAGCCCGGCCGCCCAGTTCAAACGGGCGCACGTGCCGCCGGCGGCGACCGGTCCGTGCGGGGTGCAGCCTCTTTGTGCTCGGTACTCCTTGTTTCCAGACAAGGGACAGCGGAAATCGGGGCTACGGAGCCCAGAGACAAAGCGATAATGAAACAGGTGCAGAGAGGGCAATGCTCGAGGTCAGAAAGCCAAGGTATTTTAGACAATATGTGCGCTTCAAGCTAAGCATGGCGTTATAGGGGCAATATATCTCTTTGAAAAGTGGCTCAAGCCCCTTCCTTCGACACTCGGGGGGGGGGGGGGGGGGGAGGACATATAGGCTTCTTGGAACATCTTGTTCTGACAATATCTCTGGTTTCCTACACACCATTTTCCAGAGGCTTGTCTGATCAGCCAAAGGAAGACGCAGCGAGTATGATACACCGGTGCGTGTGCTGTGTAAAGCTACTGTCGTCGGGTCGGAGCCACGTGAGCTCTCAGGACAACGCTCGACTAACCTTGAACCGAGCCACACCAGGCGGCGGCGGCCTGACGACGATCAGCGGCGTGCTCAGCGAAATAAAAACAGCCACAGCGCTTCAATTTACTAGCCTATGACGATCATACAATCACTAAATAACATCCTCAGCGTTTTAACTAGTGTTTTCACACGGAGAATGAAAGAGAAAACGGTGAAGTAATAAATGACTTCCGCTCTAATATCGCTGAAGTCGCCCCTGATCCGACAGCTGACTGACGAGGACCGCAGGCCGAAACCGGAAAAAAAATCGTGTTCTGGAACGAGGAATTAGGACGAAGAAATTACGTAGACTGTATGAGAACAGAAAAATTAAGTCACCATCCCACATAGCAGAGGGACATAAATCGATTCATAACAAGGCCAGCCTCGCAACTACTCCAACTCACTGAAAATTCGGTCACAAAAAATAACTGTCACGGGCCTGATCGCGAGCAGACTTGCCTCAATCCCGACCAGCCCGTTAAATGAGATACAGTAACGAAAACAAACATAAAATCGAGTCGCACTTTGACTTACTAGTGGCAGAGTCACAGGCCGTTGGACTCGGAGAGCCGCTGACGTCGACAGAGAAGATAGCCGCCTGGTCTGCGACCACATCAACCTCGCGGCCAGACGAGGGAGAGCCATCGCGGGCCTTCGTAAGTTCCTGACTTGTAAAAAGGTCTCAAATGATTCCAAAGGCTATAAGCACAGCACTTTCAACACAAGAACCAACAGCGCAGATCGACCGCCCCCTCCGCCGTCCGACTCCGCAGCGCAGCGCTCGTCACAACTGCGGCGGCCGCAAACCGGCAACGGTTAGTACAAAATAAGGCCGCTAGGTGTCAGGACAGGACAGCCTCCACGCAGGCGGTCGCCTTCCCAGAGCTCGAGTTCTGATAGTTTGGTGTTGAATAAAATGGCAAAGAAGCTCAGATTAGAAAAATTGTAAGCCATGGGATGAGGTTAGGGACTTTTTTCTGGTTATCCACAACATCCACAGTCTGCAAGCACGTGGACATGCCGGGACGACTGACCAATCACAGAGCACGCGTCCAAGGCCATCCAAGCTCTACCAAATTCAGTGGAGCAGTTCAAGCCGTGGCTCGGCGGCTGTTGCCGTGGCAACCGAGCTCCAGTGGAACTGGTGGCGCCGGCGGTAGAGCGAGCTGCGGACGGGCGGCGGCGGCGCGACGCGACTCCGCAATTGTAAACAGAGTCGCGGGGCGGTGAGGTTCTGTGGGAGGGCGGTCGGATTGCAGCTTCATTTCAGTTACCGGTTGTCGGTGAGGAAGGACGGCGCCGAGTCGACCTCTGACTGAGACCTCGAGTGACCCGTTGGACCGCCATGAACACCCTGGGGAGACTGATGGGGGTGACGCTGAGGGCTGCGGCCTCTCGACCTCACCTGACCTGTCGCGGAGTCGGCATCGGACAGCGCCAGAGGATGCTCTGCTACCAGCACTACTGCACCATCCAGAGGGCGGTAAGCATCGAAAACACTACCCCCCCCCCCCATCGATATCGGGGCCCTTTTTCACAGACGACTTTTTTACGGGACTCTCTTTGGTATTCTTTTCCCAAACCGGTGGCAGCATGTGAGACGCCTGCTATAAGAATACCCTCTCTTTTACGCTACGGCTAAGTCGATTTGGACTGTTCTTCATTCTTGGCCATTTCTTGTCTTCGGAAATTCGGTTTTTCATTTAAGTGCAGAAGTCAGAATATCAACACATTGTAAGCTGTTGCTAGAACAACCCTGAATCATATCGTTGGTTGACGGTTGTTGAATTTGAGTTCTTGTGAGTTGTGATCAAATCTTTTCTCGCATTACCTTTCACCGAGACCTAATGACCCGCGCCAACCGGTTATTGTTATGTAAGAGAGCGTCTTTGCAGCTGCGGACCAGGACGGGGACATCGACTGATCATGACCTGTCATCATTGTCTCAACTTTGGACAGACAAAGATAACTAGACAGCGGATAGAACTTGAACTCCGATCATTCGTCATGTTACAGCTGAATGTTAGTGCGATTTATCACGATCGTGATTCGTGATAGTACACTTTGCTGCATCCCGTGCACCTTTGCATTTACCATTGATAGTTTGAGTTAGATGCTTTCCTCGCACCTTTGTATTTACCGCCGATAGTTAGTTACCTTATCAATAAAAAAGGCAGAACGACCATAATTCTTCGGAATGCTTGAGACGTGATGCAGAACGACCACTTATTGGCTGGGCATCTTCGCTTTCGATGCATAAATTCACGGTCGGTGCCCACTCATTGATTCATTCAGGGCACTAAAGATTCGCTTCATTCATCCCTTCATTCATTCATTCATTCATTCATTCACTTCCGGCTGTTTGCCGTAGTGAAGCGATGTTGGGAACCTCCGAATAGAAGATGCCGGTCGTAAAGAGCCACTTCGATCAGCTGACAGAACTCCCACAAAAATAAAAGCTTTGAAGCGCACGGTTAACTAAATCGTCATTTATAAGCCATATTTTCAAAACAAAGAGTTGTGCCGGTCTTACGACTTCTACGCTCTGATTACGACTTCTTGCAACTCCGCAGCCCCACTGCAGTACGTCCACCATACAGTACGAGCTGCGCCACCGTACACCGTCGAGTGCTGTTGTCGAGTGGCTGTCAGACCCTGATCAGCCGGATTAGTCAGTTCCGAGCCGATTAAAGTGCCGTGAGAAGGTCTCTTGGCCCAGCTGCCTATCCGGTTATTCGGCTGGATTGGACACAGGCTTATCGCATTGTTTGGTTTCGACAGGCTTGAGTGCCGTTTTCTCAAAAGTCAAACTTTGTAGTTTGGTGGAATCAATTTTTGCTCACCGGCTTATTATTATTGCACGCCACAAACTTTTGATAGTTCTGGTTTTTATCCATGATTTATTTATATGTTTTTTTTTATTTATGATATAGATCAAAGGTATTTCCTCGCCTACGGCCTATTGCTTATCATCATCCGATCCACCTTATTTGCGATCGCTAATTAGAGTCCATGAAGTGAATGTAGCGGCATTTCCTAGGTGATGCTTCCTTATTCCCACTAATGACTCGCATTTTGCACTGGCACAGTTGCCGCTTGTGCCAGTCAGTCTCGCTATTCTGAGTCACTAAAGCGCGTCCCCGGGGCACCAGCGGCCTTGCTGGAGCCTCGTCACGTTTTCCGCGCGGTACTGAGTGGCGATGTTGTGTTGTGGTCAGCGAACACGGTATGACTGCTAATAAGGCCGATTTCGTAGTGGTAGAATGTTAACCTGAGCAGCCGCTACGACCACTGGCTAGTAAACAACGCCCGGAGCTCGCCTGCACGTTTGGAGCTTCCCCTCTGAACACGGATCCTGCTCTGTGCATAGCGCACTCCTATGTGGCCGTCCAGCCTTGTGAGCGCTCTCCTCCCCTTCGGGACCGGCGCTGAGCCGGTGACCGCTGCCCCGCCGAGTCGACCCTCAGCGGCCGAGGGTCAGCGCAGTAGCTGCCTCTGTGCTCATCAGAAGGCGCCACGTGTCTGACCGTCAGTGCCGCGGCCGCCATTGCTGATTATTAGGGTCAAATTATAAATAAATCGTCCGACCGCCGCCGCCTGTCTGTATTTTGCACGACGAGACTCAGTTCTGCAATTGATGGCAACGGGCAAACGCCAGCCAGCATTTCTTGTGTCTGCTGTGAAGGTGTCAGGAGACTTTTTCACCTGTGAATGGTCGGTCTATATTCCAGGAAAACGTGCTCAATTTCACCATGCATATTTCGGGTACGGGGTGCTGCATATAATTATTATACTGCAATACTACATACCACCGATATCCATTTCACGGAGATCTGACACCGAACACAGGTCACGCTGCCTCGCCCTGGCGATCGGCACGTGTCGCTGCCGCGGTTGGTGTGAACTCCGGTCCGTACGGCACCAGCTGCGGGGTCGGCTGTGACCCGAGGTCGAAGGACGCTGTGGAGCGGGTGGGAGCAGCGCCGAGGGTCACCAGGCTCGGCCTGTGTTCGCTCACGGAGCAGCACAGCACGCGTTGCGTCATCTCCGAGTGTGCGGCGGCGGGTGGCGTGCGCCGTGACCAAGGTCTCCTCGTCCCGCGGACGACGCCGCCTCGTGAAGGGTTACATCAGCTGGAGGTCAGGAGGGGGACGTGGGCACAGTCACTGCGCTGAGACGTGCCGCGCTGTCTGCCGTGTCCGGGGTCCATAGGTCGGCGGCTGAGGTTCTCAGAATGTCCACACAGCATTTCTAGTCTGACCCAGTTTGCACCGGAGCGGCAGGGGCTAGGACCCGTCACTGGACGATCCTGCTGTTCTGTAACAGTTTCCCTTCTTGTTCTATCACCTTCTCGTTTTAGCACCCTCTCACTCTACCACCATCTCCCTCTCTCCTTATATCTCTTTCCATCCTTCTCACGCTCCCTTTTCCCCTCCTTTCCGCTCCTTTCCGCTCCTTTCCTCTCTCTCTCTCTCTCTCTCTCTCTCTCTCTCTCTCTCTCTCTCTCTCTCTCTCTCTCTCTCTCTCTCTCTCTCTCCCTCTCCCTCTCCGGCCCTCCGTCCCTCCCTCCCCCCTCCGGGAAATGATTCGAGACAGCTCGGCCTGTTGCAATACCAGTGAACATTATAATAACACAACGCGTACCAGACTCCGGCGACAGAACGAACCCGTGCACTGAACGCTCATCTTGCCTGTTACCTGTCTCACTCGGCTCAGCCGCCAGTTTTTGAGTGAGGCGAACTGACGGACCGAAGGAGCAAGAAACTGACCGACGGAGTCGTCAGTCGACTGACGGGATCGCTGACTTTGCTTGGTGTGCTGCATACTGCTTAGTGCATAGAGCACTGACCGCTCGCTCGAGTGTTTGCTCTTCGCATCGAGGTGTCAGTTCAGCGTCCGATATCGGTGTTGTTTCCGAAAAGGTCCGCTTTTACTTTTAGCTAGGTCGGCGAAGTGAATGATTGGGTAAAGTGTAATGACTCCTAGAAATTCGTTAATCATAGGATCGTTAAACGAATTTCACTTCTGAGCCGCCTTGTACCTAGTCGATTACCATCATTATTGATAACCCGTTCGGTAGCCGATCGTCTGCAGACAAAGCGTGCTGCAAGACACAGTAGCTGTCCTTCATCAGACGTTTATATGACAGGTCTGACGGATATCGCCGCTTATGGTGAGAATCCAATTAAGGGATCTGGGTCACACGTGCCAGCCGTGTTCCTTCTGCTTTATTTCCGCCGCTGCCGCCGGTTCGGACAGTTATCATATCACCCCGTCTTCGTATCGCTGGTATACTCACTCCACATTCGTGCGGCACTGGTATTACGCTCCCGGCTCCCTTCCCTGGAAGGGCAGCTGGTCGGGCGCTGCCGGCGAGCGACTTTCCTCCGCATTGCATCAGCTGAGGTCGGGAAGTTGCAGAGCGTGTGGATCGTGCTCCGAGTCTGTGCCGTACTGGGTTAGCGGTTTGCGGCATGTCGGCTGAGCAGACGGGGAGGCGCCGCCGGGCCTTGGCCCAGTCGGGACGGCTGCTCTGTCCACTGGTGGTCGGACCGGTGGACCTTTCCATGTATTTACCAGTGGTCGCCACACACAGAGGCCTGGCCGCCCCAACATGACTCTGCTGGTGGTCGTTTCATCAGTCTCTGTGTGTCACCGGTTTGGAAAATCGTACCGGCGCCGCTACAGTCCAACGGTCCCATGATGCAACACCGGACTCAATGGCACATGCACTGCATTGTGTTCGCCCGGTGAGCCGCGGGCTTAGAGCGAACGGGGAATATCTGAGGATAACGTGTGAAAAACGCTCCGCCGGGGACACCGGTGGACGAGTTGTTGCATCAGGATAACAGCTGGACGGATGGCAATGTGTTGTTGCCTCTATCCTCTGTTCTTATTTGCTGATGCAATGATAGGCATTGCGAACCACCTGGTAATGTTTGCTGTATTTGGCACACCTTTCGTCAGTAATCCACTGATTACAATCGTAACGTTTCTGTGTGTTGTGCTGAGTCATTGGTCTCTCACTTCAGAATCCGTTCTTGTATGTATAGGCCTTTGATAATTTCATTTAGGTATTTAAATTTAAGCTTCTTTAGCTTGAATTATTCATCCACCTTTGCTTTATCGATTTAGCACTAAATGGTATCGCATCATCGCGTCTACATTGTCCTGGCAAATGATTAGTGAATGCACTCACTGACATTTATTCATATCAGACTATAACAATTTTCAATTCAACGCAGCGAGGATGCCGATAGTACTCGGGCAACGCACGCACAGTGACGCAGAACCGGAGCGCATTGCGACAGTGCACCTTCGCTTGGTTCTTCGCCCGTTCAATATTGATTCTCGGTCCGGAGGGAAGACTGCGCGGTGCGCATTGCACGTTGCAGGAGCCTTGAGAGGACCGATTCTGTCCTGCAGAGCGTAGAGGCTGCACTGAGCTCGCTACGACTTATACGCACCCGGCCTACTGCGATACTCGGCTGTGGTCCTTTTGTTCCCTCAGTCAACACCCAGCGATGCACTGACCAGAGCCGACACCGGCGAAGGTGCTATCCTGCTGACCGAGCTCATCCTGCCGCTGTGTTGACAGGGCCGACTCTGGGTCCCGGCTGACCGAACGCTCCTTGTCGCTCTGTTGACAGGGCCGGCTCACGCTGCTGTCTCAGTGCCGTGTGCAACTGCTGGCCACCGCGCCTCCGCCGGCCGGTCCCCAACTGTTTGCCGTACGTGTATTTACACTTGTAGGTGACAATCGGGCAGCTGCAGTGGCTACTTGACAAACTGATCGTGCATGGGTTCGGAATGAGAGATTCGCATCTGAACGCAAACAATCGCTCCGAAGAGTTAACAACTTGTACAAACAACTTGAACTCGTGCAAGTGGGTTACATGACTTCCGTTTACCAAAGGATTATGCCTGAGTACGCGGAGGTTTTCTCAAGGGTTAGTCTCGAGAGCCATGCACGGATCAAAGCTAAGTCGATACAGACTGGGATTATTTGAATGCCACCGCACCTGACCAGTAGAGTAGTGCGCACGGACTTTATTTTACTGCTATTTAGAGTAGGCATGATCCGCAGTAGGCATGGCAGCGATGCTGTTGCTGAGCAGACACCCTCAGCTGTTAACCATATACTGGCTTCCCTTCTCGGTAGAAGCTCGAATTCTCCGGGGCTTCACACACGTCGGCACGGCTACCTTCAACTTCACAACCATCGGCATTCCACTGGGTTTCATCTCCCCCGCCTGAATGCAAAGCCGTCATCCTCTTTGCCTGCCACCCCGCCTGACTGACCCTCTGCCGCCCTCTCTGACCCCCCTCCGTCTCTCCGCAGGGTTCGAGCGAGTTCTGGAAGCGTAAGATGGTGACGCTGTTCCAGCTGCACGACACGGACGGAGACGGCCGGATCGACTGGACCGACTATGTGCGCGTCCAGACGCGGCTCTGCCAGAACACAGACATCGGCATGAAGGAGGAGGTCGAGACCATGCTCAACTTCCGGGTAAGGAGCGGGGCGACAAAACACAGGGAGGGGGGGGGGTGGAGTCTCGCACGTCGCTGGAACGGATACTCATACAACGCTCGAAAAGGGAGGGGGAGAAATGGGCTGGTTGATGAGGGTTTGACTGAGCGGATGGGTACCAGGTCTAGCTAGTTCTGAGGGAGGTTCTGCAGTATCGGTGAGTGGTTAGCTGAGTTTTAAAAAGTCTGCAGGCGAGCGAACTACTGGGATGGGGAGGCGAGAGGTTGACTGAGATTTATGGCTTGTTATTGTCGATGCGTTGCCAAGGTCTTACAGGTGGGTTGCATCATGTCTGGGTTGAAGTGGCCGATCGACTGATCGGCCTTAGGCAGCACAAGGCCAAGGGCAACCCGTAGGAACCAGCCACGGCGGCACCGAGCAAATGATGAGTTGTGGTCTAACTAAGGTGATTCCGGCAGGGAATAATTGGTCGGTAGTAGGTAGTGGAGGCCGGCCCGGGTGTGTAATTGCGCCGTGGCCGCCTAACTGAACCACAAGAGGCTTCCGGTAGTAGTGGAGTGGCGACGTGACCGTCATCAGCCTAGTACTCGACACTCGCGTTACCTCATTTCGCCGTGCAAGTCATTTGCTGTCCACGGCAGTCCGTTAAAAAGCCGTCCCATTCGTCTCAGTACGGAAGACATCTGATCAGGAAGCACTTCCGATTTTTAGTCTTGAAAAGGTCGGCACCGGTCGGGTCCAGCCTTCTTGCCTTCCTGTTCCTCTTTCTTCCTTCCTTCTGGAGCCTCACGACCGTACCGGGCTCTGGGTCACAACTAGGCACGACTGTGGGCGGAGCGGGGTCTCCCAGTCACCAGCTTGCCATGAGTTGTGCTATGGGGACGGAGGGGAGGGCATAAATTACCTTGGAGCGCGGTACCACCCACCCCGCGAGGCAGGGGTGCACCGGGAGGGGGCATGGAGGGGCACCGGGACCCCCTCGCCTCCCGGTCCGGGAGGGTGGCCGCGTGGCACTGATAGAGCCCACTCTAGATCACGGGAGCTCATGGTTCCGACCAAGGCTGAATGGGAGTCGCGTGACTGCGAGACTGTTAATGTTCGTGACTGAGCTGTATTAGTGCTGGGTGATAGTGAGCCGTGAAAATGTTCGCAGCGATTTTCAGCCGATGACAGACGAAGTCTTGAGGTTTGAATCTTTATCATCGGTTATTTGCTGTCTGGCTTCAATTATGGACTCTCACCTTGAGTTTTCCGTCAATATTATGCATCATTTTATATCAGTTGTACTCAAGTTTCCGAAAGAATCATGTCCAAATGTCAGGAGAAGCTGCTTTCATTTGTACATGCATCGTCATAAGCTGGTGCACTCGAGCCATGAACGTCGGGACATAAACCGCAATCTCTTCTCTTTCTGCCTTTTTATGACCACCATCACTGTAGAACGAAGCACCACAGCTACCGACATGCCACTACTGCCCCCAGCAATGTCAACCTCGACCGAATCCCACTACGCTTGTGTCGTTTGCAATAGGACCGCACCATGTGTGAACTGCTCCGGGTTGTTTGTTGTCACAGCACACCGAAGGTCTCGCCCGCTGGGACAGAGCGCAGCGGTCGGCAGTCGTCTGTAGTCCACTGTTGTTTATCCCGGCCCTGGCGTGTGACGTTTATTGGAGCGGGATGTCGGCCGGCTCTGACGGCAGCAGGGAGCGTGTTTGTGGGGTCTGCTGGTGCGAGCATACGTCAATCGAATCAGTGACTCAGCGCTGATATATGTCCTGCGTTATTGCATCGGACAGTTTGAAACATGTTTGGATTCTAAGTTTGCCCTTGATTCAAGGAGTGCCTACTGTGGTCTTGCCCCATACCATTAGATTATCCTCGGTCTGAAGCGCAGCCCTACTCATTGTTTTGTTGTTGACCTGGCCCATAATTGTCCTTTTCGCTGTCCGCGCTGTTCCGTGTCGCACTTCTGTGACCTGAGCCAACCTGCCCTATCCTGCCCTGCCCCGCCCTGCCCTGCCCTGCCCTGCCCTGCCCTGCCCTGTCTTGTCCCGTCTTGCCCTGCTCTAACCACCATGACCTGACCTGACCTGATCTACCGTGCCCTCCCACAGAGGCTGCGGGATTACTGGCTGGGGAGGTCAGCGACCCGTCCCGTCCTAACCCACCCTGACCTGACCTGACCTGACCTAACCTGACCCTACTTACAGAGACTATGGGAGTACTGGCTGGGCGAGGTCAGCGACCCGCACTCCAGCATCACCCAGGAGGAGTTCATCAAGGCGCTACAGCACGCCATCAACCAGCCGGCCTACAAGACCACCGACAAGAAACAGATGCCCGTCTGGGCCTTCTTCTACAAGGTGGGTTCTCGCCGCCAGTTGTACAGACGCGGCTCTGGCATAGCTAGCACATTGTAATGAAATGATACACCAACAGCAGATATAGGTATCAATTGGGCAATCGACATATCCCTCTTACACCCCAGCTACTTAGTGGATGTAAATGCCAATTTCACGAGGCCTCTGATTCACTTGGCAACAACACTCCCCTGTTTTGCCTCGACCCTCAACTTTGGACTCTTGATATGAGACACTACAACCGAAACGGTTCGCTGGTGAATACAATACCTGCCGGTAGTGCCGTTGAGGTCATCATGAATATTTCTAGCTGGCGTTCAGATAGGCATGACACTGCGCTGGTGACAGATTTTGACCTTCAGACTGAACTATTCAGAGCGAGTGACACGGGCCTGATCTGCCGTATATCTATCGGCCAAACTGACATACATTCGGTGCACATACTTCCTGGTGCATGCATGCTCGGTTGGCGTGCCTGCTTCTGGTAACAAGTTTAGTTTACCATATACAGCATACAAGCTTGTTGACTTTATAACTCCCTGGCGCTGTTTTAGCCGTAAACTGGTGCCGGACTTAGCCGTGTTGCTCCTCGATTACCCATACGTCATCCCTTTGAAGCCTCTTGTTACCCGCCCTGAACCCACCGATGCTATCACAGTATCGTGATTTCGAGCAATGCCGAACATTGTACGCCAGTTGAAGGCAAGGGCCAGTGGCGGCTAGAGCTGGTACGGTCCATGGTTATTTCCTTCTCTCCTGTCGATATTCCGGATGCAGTTCTATCCAGTCCCATCGGAGCAATGACAATAGGGGAGAGTGGGGAAAGATGCCCAGGGGTTTACTATGTCATATATTATTCGAAAATGACGATGGGAAAGCAAAAACTTGGAGTTTCAACGGAAGCCGACATCATTTTTCTCCAAAAATATCACACTTTCGTGCCTGAAATATTATTACTTTTTTTGCATTTTCCTGAAGAAGTGAAAGGGGGCATCTTACCCCACAGGGTGGGAAAGACGCCCCCTGACGTTGGGAAAGATGCCCCCTGCACTATAAGTGACATAAATGGGCACGTGAATCGCCTGAACGAATCAGTAGTCCCTTCGAGCCTGCAGTAGACACCAAACGTCATCATAAGGGCCCTCAAAAGTAGTCATAAGGGGCTTCAGAGGTCATCGTTAGGGCCATCATAGTCCAGCGCGGCCAAACAAGCCTCCGTGGTGGCGTTCGGAGACCACTGTGGGGCTCTTATAGGTCTTCATGATGCTTGAGGGCCCTCGAGCCCATCGTGGGGACCTCCGATGCCAGTGCGGCCCGTGGGGCCAACGTGGGAGCACTCAAAGGATGTCGTGATGGGCCCTGGAGCCAATAATTGGGCCCACAGAGGCCGTCGTGAGGGCTCTCAGAGTCAGATGCCGCCCAAAAAGTCGCTATGTGGGCCGAGAGACCGGCATGGGGAGCACCCGACCGTACTGGACTCTCAATAGTCCCAGATCGGCTCAGGGGCGGATCCAGCCGATCCGTTTGGGGAGGGCAAAAGTTTAGCCGACCATTGGCGACCCCGACCCACCACCGCGCCAGTGACCAAGTTACTTCACAACGCCAGTTACACCATCTTACCGTAAGGTGGTGTAAAATGTCTTATGTTAGCCCGTGCCCAGCCGCGCTGGGGCTCCTGGATTTTCATGCCCCTGGGGGATGTTTGAACACCCATATCCCTTCTAACTCGGCTACTGGGCCACGTAGCAACACGCGGTAGGCGGCGTTTGAAAGAGTGTCAAACATAATGACCAAATTACCCCAGTCACTTTTAAGGTCAGGTCAGATGTCAGATCACCAGAGCCCATCAAAGGCCAAATCCCGATAATATTTAGGTCCAGTTTCGACAATTTTTGAAGAACTGGCGCATAACTCGGAAACGAATAGAGCTAGAGCGCCCCAGAAAAGCTAATTTGATAGCACTGTTACTGCTCTTTCTGGATAATTCGCTCAGATTGGACCTAAGATCAACGGTTTAGCCTCCAGGGGAAACTGCCATAATATATACCAGTATAACGCCTTTTGGGCGAAGAACGAGCGAGCGAGATAGTGAGCCCTGCACGTGCGGAAGGGCGAGAGGGTACTTCCAACGGGCTTGCGCAAAGCACCCTTCTAACCGGTCGCTAGCGGTGTACCAAATTTGAACGCAATCGGCCCAGCCGTTCCTGAGATCTGGAAGCGGCATTCTGCACGTGCGCACGTGCAAACGGGGTCCAAACTGACTTTTGCACGGCACCCTACTAACCGGTCTCCAACCGTGTACCAATTTTGAGCGCAATCGGCCCAGCCGTTCTCGAGATCTGGAAACGCCCCCTGCACGTGCGCACGTGCAGTAGCACCTTAACCGCAACACATGGGAATGCATTGCCTGGTGGGTGCCTACCTGTATGCCAAGTTTCAGCGAAATCGCCCCAGTAATTACCGAGTTATTAAAATGGGAACAAATTTGACACCTCTTATTGTTGTATTTTGCACGTGCACTGGGGGTGACCCACATGCATCGAGAGTATCCTATTTTTGGTAGAAAGGATGCAGCTGCCCTATAAAAATTACCGCAAGTCAATCGTCCAAGCGGCTGCTGAGATATGAGCCTATCAAAATCACTACTTTTGCAAAACAGCTTGAACACCCTTGACTTTTCACGTGGCACGTGCCACGACGGTCACTGAGATGTATCAAAAGTAGTCAATTACGGGGTAGAAGGGATGGGGCTACCCAGCAAAAAAGACCGCAGGCCAATCGGTCCAGCGGTTGCTGAGATATAAGCCTCTCAAAAGCGTTACAGGCCGGGCCGGGCCGGGCCGGGCCGCTCATACTGAGATTTTTCCGTTATATTGAAAAGACTCACTTCGCTCGCTGCGCTCGCTCGCTCGTAACTATTTTTACGCGAACGGATTTTCTGCGATAACTTTTGAATCAAACCTTGTGCAATCTTACTTTTACCGGCATCGTGTTCCTCTCGCGAAGACGCGTCGAATGAGTTATAATTTGATCTTAGAAAGTGAACTTACAACTTTGACATTTGGTCAAGACATGACCTGACCGGAAAAGGCCGTGTTGCATATCAGTCGATCCGTATCGTAAAGCTGAACAAATCTAATGTGTTTCTATTGCTCTAGAATGCCTCCAGCAGAAGTTATTAGCGAATTGCTGCAAACTATTGCATATCTTTCGTGACCTGAGATGATCTCAGGGACATAAGGAGGGGTCACGGGTGCTATTTTCCGGTTCACTGTGTGCTGTTTAGGTTGTAACTCGGTATTGTTAAGAGTGACGTTTCTTATAAATTTAGCACGAATGTTAGAAAGGGCGGATTGACGGGAGCCGGAGCCTACGCTAAGCAGAGCTTGTTGCGTAGAGCCCGACCTCTACCGTCCGATCGCGTAATTCCGGGCGACAGGAGAATTTAGTTTAACGTTTAACGATGCCAATGTTTAACGTGCCCTTCAAAGCCGGACACGGCCTGTACCACTCCTGACTTTGACTGGCTGCGGCTGCTCCCACCAACCTCAGACCATCCCCGTCAGGAGTCTCAAATATCGAGCGCCGGAGCGACTTAAACCCGGGCTCTCACTACCGGGAGTCCATTGCTTTACCAACTGAGCTACCGGACAGGAGGTTTGTCCAAAAAAGGTGCCTTTCAATTTTCTCTTATTGACTTATAGTGGAAAGGTCGCAAAAATGACCTAGCCCTAGGTCATTGATATAAAAATCATGTGACTAACATTTTGTACATAGGTACCTACTGTTACCCTTATTAACTGCTGAACGTTTCAAAGCGATCCGTCACTCGGTTTAGCTATGGCAAGCATTGGAACTGTTTTTAGGTTATGTCACTTGAGGTACAGCTTAGTGACTTCGTGACCTTGAGAGACCTTGGTCTGACATGTTCAGAACATATGCAAAAAATAGGTTTAAAATGGCGGCTAGGCATGTCGCCGTTTTTTACGCGGAACGCTCCACAGCAATGAGGCTCCCAACAAATGACAAAACTGTGGATTGCTTAGGTAATTTCGAATATAGGGTGGTGGGCGTCTTACCCGACTGGGTATCTTGCCCCGTGTTACCTCACACCATGGCCATTGGCCACACTGCATATGCTTATGCATGCATTCAGTTCAGGGGGTTCAATCTAATATCAGCATATCGACCCAAAATATCAGCAGCCAGTGGTCAGCTCCTTCCTTCGGAATGGCCGTCACGGAAAGAAGCCCTGCTTTTCGTCCATATACCGGGTGTTGCAGCTAAATTGGGACAAAGTTCGTAACCTAATCACAATTTTGTTATTTGGAGGATATGGCTGAAAATTTGACATGATACTATTTCAACAATGCTCTTTCACGTGCTAATATTTTTGATGCACGAAAACCGATAACAGTCATGGAGGAACAGCGTAGATGTACAGTTGCTGAATTAGTTCGCGCTGGACAAAGCGCGAAAGAGATCGTTATCGCAACAGGATACCCGAAGTCTACGGTATATCGCACTGTCGCTACTATGGACGGTGGAGGAGATGTCAGTAGACGTCCCCATGCGCCGCGAAGTGACCGCAAACGGAATCCTCGGTTTCTCGCGGGCTTGAAAAGGTCTATTGAGGCCAAACCAGGTGTCTCAATGCGTAAGCTAGCGCGAGACCGAAGGGTGAGCAAAAGCACCATTAGCAGGGCTGTCAAGGAGAACCTCGGGATGAGGTCGTATAGTAGGAAACGGCAGAACCTTCTGACGGAGCGTCTAAAAGCGTTACGGAAGGAGAGGGTCCCGATGGTTCTGAACCAGCTCAAGAACCATGGAGGAGACGTGAGAGTCTTTGTGGACGAAAAGAAGTTTGTGGTAGACGAAGTTGCCAACCGCCGGAACTCAAGAGTCATCGCCTCGAACCCCGGTGATGTTCCACCAGTGATGATAAGCAAAAATCCAGCCTCTGTGATGGTGTTCGGAGCCGTCGCGAGCGACGGTCGCGTCATGCCCCCTCACTTCATACCTGCTGGAGAAAGAATCGGCGCAGAGGAGTATCTGGCCATCCTAGAAGAAGTGCTTTTGCCCTGGATGGCGAAGTACTACGACCTGAAGAAAGTCACACTTGTACAGGACTCGGCTCCAGCTCATGCTTCCCGGAGGGTGCAGGATTTCCTTAGTCGGAAGATCCCTCTGTATGTCCCAAAGGATACGTGGCCTCCAAACTCACCCGACCTAAATCCGTGCGACTTTTGGATGTGGAGCGCGATTGAGGAGAGGTCCAACGCACGTGCCCATGACAGCATCTCGAGCCTCAAGAAGTCCATCAAGAAGGCAGCCAGCAGCATCGATCCTATGGAGGCTCAGCGCGCGTGCGGCGCGTTCCGACGCCGCCTGGAGATGGTGAAGGAGGCTCATGGTGGCCACATTGAGTGAGAGGGTAGAGAACATGTGCGTCAATACACGTTCAAAGTTTGAAAGCTCTGTCTCTTCATTCTACTGAGTTATGCCACTTTAAGTGTAAGCGGGAAAAATTCCCAATTTAGCTGCAACACCCTGTAGGCATCGACGCCGTATTAGATTTGCTCATCGCTACATGCTTTGGGAGGGGCAAAAAGATAGTCTTGCCCACACGATTTGGCTTTGGGGAGGGCAAATGCCCATTTTGCCCTCCCCTGGATCCGCCACTGGATCGGCTTTTGTCTACATCACAAGTATGTAATAAATGATTTGACGGGCTGTTTGAAGGACAGCCTACGGATTTAGGGGGGCGTCTTTCCCCATCAGGACAGGGGGCATCTTACCCCAAGGTACCGAAGTAACATTAAATCAGTACAATTTGTTAGCCATAAAACTACACCATGAAACAAACTCTTTGGGACACAGTACACGCATGCTAATGTATCACGACTATAGCAAGGGACGCAAAAATTATTTACCTTCTTTGATATTTACAATGTTCTGACACCAAAATATTTTTTGAAAGCAGCAAATAAAAAACATGCAGTCATCAGCCAGCCGTTGCCCAACTGAGCTTCGCAATTTTTTGTGCCGTTAACAAGGCAGGCTTCCGCTTTACGCTAAGAACATTAATTTCCAGGTCCGATTCTTTGTTTCGTCGCTAGAGGGGGTGGGGCGTCTTTCCCACCCTGGGCATCTTACCCCACTCTCCCCTACGAGTACATTGGACGACGGCCGCTGAACGATAGCCTCTCCTGCTCAGGACAGAGACGGGACTGGCCGTCTGGAGAGAAGTTGTTTGTGTCGCTGCGGGGGCGTTGACCGGCGAGCGGCCCGGGGCCGGACGGTGAAGGGTGTTTGGGTGTAGGGCGCCGGCCGGACCGACGCAGTCTCTCCTGTTTTTGTTGTCTTTGATCTCCTGTGACAGAGAGCAGAACCGGCGGCCAGGGAAAAATATTTATGTTTGAGGAAATATTTATTTTTCGGCAATCCTGTGTAATATTTGTCCGCTCATGTTCGGTGTTCCACTGTTCCAGTTAAAGTTTGTGACCTCGTACTTGTAATCACATCTGAGCATGCTAACTAGGTGGTTCAACTCCATTATTCAAACTCTCTAAATTTGGAGGTCAAAGCTGCTAAACATGACCCCGAGTCCCTCAAAAACAAAACAAGATTTATGGCTGAGATGGCCTCGCTAACCAGCAATTTCAATTGGTTTATGAACTTAACTGTCTCGGCACGAACCCCATGAATATCCATTAGCCTGGACAGGGCTGATGTGGTCCATGATGCAACTCTTCCCTTGTGGAGCGAGCGCCCGCGGTGGCAGCTCTGGAGACTTATTTGGTGCGCCTCAGTCGTGGACGGGTGCTGTAACCGCCCTGTGAACTAGAGCCACTCCCATCCGTGCTACACCCGTCCGCTCCCACAGCTGCGACGGGATAATGAGCGTCACCGCCCTGTCCTGCCAGCGAGCACTCGCTATCACCAGCTGGGGCGGGGCGGGTCTGAGAGTCCGGCTGTATGGGTAGAGCCATCGTCCCTCGCCCGTTCTGTGACCCGTTCTCGCTCGTGCGACAGAAACGAGTGGGCCGTGTCTCTCGATTTCGACCACGTCCGACCCTGTCCTCGGCGCATGTGTGCGCTCCAACAAAGGCGTACATACAAAGAGACTAAGAAAATGCCATTGTTTGCGTTGGCACCTGGTTGGTTTGCAGCGCTCCAAACTGAGCGAAGCAGGATGGTGGACATTTTTGGCAGTCCATGCACCGGCAGCTGCTGCTGATCCTTTCTGCAGCCAGGCCCAGGACAAAGCCAGACAGCGCGAAACCTGATGACTGTTTAATTTATGCAGCGCTGGATTCTCCTTCCCACCTCTCATCGTTTCCGGCGGAGCGGAGCATTGCCGGCATTGCTGGCATCGTGACAATCATTGCAACGCTGTCATGCCGTTGTCTTTGCTCACAGCAGCGCTGGCAGACATAGGCGGCGGAACGGGGGGGGGCACCGGGGCACCGTGCCCCCCCTTGAATTCTGCAAGGGGGCACCAATAGCAAGGTGCCCCCCCTTAAATTTGATGTACCTATTAGTACTAGGGGCAGATTCGGGGAAAACTCCAAGGGGAGGGCCATGAATCGAAGTGGTGCCCCTACCTATGCCCAAAATTAAAACCTCAACGGATTTCGGCCACTTAATTTTGGTGGTGCCCTATTCCCAGCCAGCAAATCGGAGCTTTCCCCGTACGGGGAAGGCCTATGGCGAGCTTGGGGCAGGCTCGGGGAAACCCCAACCGTTCTCTTGGGGAAAACGGAGCGTTCGCTTGGGATTTGAGACACTTTGTGCGGGGACCTTTGTGCGGGATTCGTACGGGGAAACGGTATAACTACCCAAGCGTTCCCCAAACGTCCCCCAGGCTACCCCCGCGCCGACTATGGTTAAAACCCGTTGTTAAGGTCGGTTCCCCGTACGGGGTTATCGAACATTTTCCCCAAGAAGATCCTGTGCGAGCCCCGCACATTCCCCCACCCGGCTATACGGGTTTATACTTACTGGAGACCTTCCCCGATCGGGGAAACCGTGATTTTCCCCTAACGTTCCCAGACCTTTTCCCCGCGCGAGCCCCGGCCGTTCCCCGACTTGGCAATGGCCCTACCTCCTTGTCTGCTTTTTTCCCCGTACGGAGAAGCCAGTAAAAAACCGCACTGGGAAACAAATCGGGTCCCATTAAAATTGACAATGACTATTTATTTTGTCTGTAAACATACTTGTTTACATACAAACAAAATTGTCCACTTGTTTCCCCGCAATAGGGAAACGATAAAACCACACATGAAAATAATTAGAACCAATCCATTTGGCCATGCCTGTTTATTTCCAGACTTTCAGGATGCTTCAACGACTAGATCAATACACAACAGTCGGCCAAGCATGGTAGGTGTCTGTACCACCACAGCCTATACTATTTTTATGTGGAGTCCTTCATTTGATGAAAGGTTAACATGCTTGATAATTGATATTTGATATACTCGTTACAAATCAAGACAAACGCTAAAAAAGTTATTATTCACTTAAGACACATTGTGAACGCTTAGCAGGTGGCAAACATTACAGCGGCAGCGCAGCAGTGACAAACAACAGGTGACGAACACGAGCACTGGTAACCGGTCTAACCCCAGTTCTAACACGTCGAACCCCAGTTGATCCTCTGCAGTAGGAGTCTGTTCAGCAGATTGAGAACGACGGCTTTTCTGTAGTCTCCCTACAGCTGGTCCGGCCTTCCGTTCAGTAGTGCCCTGGATCCACAACTCGAGTCTTCCTTCTGGCTGTTTCAGACACAGCTCAGCGGTCAGCTGCCGCTGAGAGCCACCTTGCTATGATCCATGTCCCAGCGTATCTCCAGGAATTCTGCGGCTGTGGACAAAAACAAAAATATGTGCACTTGTAGGTATATCAATCAGGTTTTACAGCTAGCTACTACATGAAATGTCCTTTTATGGAAATTTCAGCTTACGCTGAAACATGTTGAATGCCATTTTATGAAATTACACTTATTTATAACTTTTTTTCCACGAAAAGTGCTTAAAAAATGAATGTGATATACTTTGAATAGTTAATTAAAACAGGGGAAAAAATTCAGTTATTAATTTTGTACTTCTAAACATTTCTCATTCCAGGAAAGTCATTAGGTAATAAATGTTTTACGTCTATATTACGCCTTACGAAGTTCCTCGCGAAAGCACTTGACAGATAAATGAACGCCGTTTGACAATTAAAATCGGTTGCTAGTTTATCAAGATAGCAATGAAGTCCCTTTCACAAACAGAGCTGTCTAGTAGAGCTGCTGAAACAGGCTCTTTCCGAAGACAAAAAAAAAAATGGAATGCGAAAGCCTATTCAAATACATGTATTTATTACAATCGCGTCAATCGTTCGCACATCCCTGTAAGCGATCGTGATTTCATGTATTTAATTAATGGGCTCTCGCATGAGATTTTCTGGCTGTAGAAAGAGTGTGTCTCAGCCTTTAGACTTGGGTGAAGGACAGGTTGTTCAACAGCTCTAAGCTAACCCCCACCCCCATAAACTGCTAACCAGCTTCGCCTGGAAGTCGCCCTTCGGTTGCTCATGCGAGCAATTACGCATTAACTCCACGCCGGGTTCATACTGCTGTTGTGGGTTCTGCCAAGTCCCGTCGGAAGCCTTCCGGTCGTAACCGGCAGACGTCCCTCTAGAACAGAACCAGATAAAGGATTAGGCTGATGACATTATATTGTCCGGGCAATTTAAGGATAATCTCAGACGGAGGTTGATGACCTCTGTCATTTTTACGTCATATTCTGCATACCCTAGACAGTGATCAAGATATTGTGTGTATCGGAAGCTTTGTCTTTTACAATAAATTTGAGTTAGTATCATCGTCATTTTATATCTATCATGGATTCGTTACAATTAAGTGCTTTAGTTCATTACCAACACAGCATATCTTCCTCGTCGAGCTGCGTCCTCCGTTGGTGCCGAGTCCAGCTTCTCACGCACTGACCCCAGCGGTAGATCACGACTTTGGGCACAGGTCAGTCAAGCGGTCACCACATCTCGCCGTTCACCGTCTTCGTTCACAGCTCTGTAGTGTCGCCGCACTCTTCAGTGCCAACCATTGTCTGACCTGGAGCGGTACCTAGCCCACGGCTTGCTCACACAACCGCGCGGCGCAGTGACTCTGGACCGACTTCCCCCGTTCATCCCGTCTGACGCGTCGGCACGGCCCCATTCACGATGACAGATGGCGACAGGAGACGCCCCGGCCCCTCAACCAGATGTGCGGACGGAACCGACGGCGGCCGGCCGTTGCTACCCCTCCCTCCCCTCCCCTCGCTGCGTTGAGGCGACACTTCTAAGTCGTAAGCAGTGTATTGTTGAAATTTTGATGCTTTTGCAATTTCAATGCGATGAGTGATGACAGAAGAAAGAAAACGTAATGTTTATGCCACAGCAGTACAAGAAGAAACATAGATCCTGAAAGTTGTCAAAGTTGTTTTTACCTCATGAAATAAGGGCACCAACGCTCGTTCAAAGTAATGGCGTATGCGTGTCCTCATCCACACGGCTTAGCAGGCCCCGTAAACCAAGACGGCTTTTCCTCTCTTTTAGGTCGAAAATTACATAGATCCAATGTCTACAATCAAATGTCTGCGAATAACCGTTTTCATGATAGGTAACTGGTACACAATTGGTAGACATTTGGTCCAGATACGGTGCCGATTTGATAAAATTATCAGACATCATTTTAGATTAAAACACTGAAATAAATAGGCATATGATATGAAGATATGCAAAAGAGATTTGGTGCAAATTTGGTCACTGTTTGATGCATTCGCCAGATCACCTGTTATGTAAACAATTATAAAAAAATCGTTATATCGTTATATTTTTTATTTATTATATTTCCCTTCAATCGATGCATGAGCCTATAGCTCTTAGAACTGCTCCTAAGACTGCTTTTAGCATTCCCAAGGTTCAATTTTTCTTTATTGAATACTTGTTATATTACATGCTGGAAGTCGATCTCAAGACGTCCTACTGGCGGTTGGGATTCGTCTGGGGATTAAGTGTAAAATCCCGAGCGGGGAATTTCAACAGTTCCCCTACTTTTCCCCAATCAAACTGTTCTTGAAAATGGGTCGGGGATAACGCACCCTTCCCCGTACGGGGAATCTGATCTTTTACCCGACCGAACCCCAACAGTGGGGTTTGATTGGGGAATGCTGCTCTTTCCCCGTACGGGGATCGGTGTGATTTCCCCATGTCTTTTGAACATATTACCGATACAGTCGGGGAAGAGATGGGGAACACGGACCATTCCCCGATCCGATAGGGGAATTGTACGTTCTCCCCAAGCTTTCCCCAACACTGTCCCCGCACTTTCCCCACCCCAACCGAATTGCTGGCTGGGTTTTCAGTTTTTTTTTATTTTCTTTATTTTTGGTTAGTCATGTGATGACTGGTGCCCCTGCACCTGCTAGGCCGCTGATGCCCCTGGAAAGACTGTGGTACCTACCTACCCTGCCCCCTGACAAGCCTACGGTGGGCCCTGACATGACTGAGGTGCCCATGGGCCCTGACAGGCCTGTGGTGTCCTTGCTAAGCCTGTGGTGTCCCTGGGCCTTGGCAGGTTTGTGGTGCCCCTGTTAGAACGCAGGTGCCCTTGACAGGTTTGTGGTGCCTCTGACAATCCTAAATTGCCAACGACAGGCTTGTGGTGCCCTTGACAGGCCCATGGTGCCCTTGCGAGGCCGGTGGTTCCCCTGCGAATCCAATAGTGCCCCTGGCAGGCCTCTGGTGCCCCTGGCAGGTCTGTGGTGCCCCTGGAAGACCTGTAGTGCTTTTGCTAGGCCGATGGTGCTCCTGACAGGCCTGTGGTGCCCCTGCTAGGCCTATGGTACTCCTGGCGGGCCTGTGGTGCCCCTTTCGGCTGTCAGGCCTGTGGTGCTCCTGGCAGGCATGTGGTGACCCCAGGCCCTAAGTCATGACCCATGTGACCTCCACCCTGGGATTCGCCACTGATTAGTACCATGCGATGGCTTCTTGGTAATTTGTTACATGTAGGATTAATGGAATTTATCAAACGAGAATAAGGAAGAGACAAACACATAGGTACTTGGGGATCAGCTTAAAGTTAACCACACATACGGGCAGGGGTGTAATTTTCCTAAAATGATTGTGGGTGCCCAGCTGTAGGGGCGCCCGGCGCCAGGCCGTTTTGGGGCGCGATAGATATTCTTTATGTGGGAGCCTAAATTAACACCGAATTTGATAACATTGCTAGCTGAATGGCGCTTCAAGTGACGTGTCTGACTAAGCAAATAGGTACACGCTTAAAAGTGGAAACTGACCGGAAGGACGTAAAAAGCTGTAGAGGGCGCCATCCAGTAGGAGGGGCACCAAATGTGGAGGCACCAGACGGTTACGACTTACGAGGGCGCCGTGAGACGATGAAAAGGGCGCCATTCTCTTGGGAGGGCGCCGAGTGATTGGAAACGCTATGTGGTCCAGGGGCGCTAAGAGGCCAGAAGGGCGCCGCACAGTCAGTAGTGCTACGTTTGTGGGGACGTGGGGACGCCAGATGGTTACGAGGGCGCATTGAGATCATGAAAAGGGCGCCATTCTCGTAAAAGGGTGCCGAGTGATTGAAAACGCTATATGTGGTTCAGGGGCGCTGAGAGGCCAGAAGGGCGCCGAACAGTCGAGGGATGCACGGTGAACAGAGACCTAAGGACGCGAGACGGTCAGGAGGGCGCCGTTAGACCATGAGAATGGCGCGGTGCTGTCAAAAGTGCGCCATTCTCCCAGAAGGGCGCCGAGTGATTAAAAACGCTATATTATCCATGAACGCGAGACGGTCAGGAGGACGCCGTTAGAGCATGCGAAGGGCACCGTACTCTCGAAAGGACGCTTGCAGCCTTGTAAAAGACTTGTGGGTGCATTTTCATCATTGTGTGGGCATACATAATTCAGGATTGTGGGTGCATATGCCCCCACAAAGAGATATAAAATTACACCCCTGCATACGGGGGTGAACTGCCATTTTCGTTTAGTAAAAAATAAAATTAAAAAAAATAATCGTGTCAGGGCTGTGACGAAAAATAAGTGGCCTAAATCCGATGAGAAAACAGGATTTGAGGGTACCCTAGGTTTGGCTCCTTGAGCCATGGTGCCCCCCCTTGTCTCAAATCGTTCCGCCGCCTATGCTGGCAGACCTGCGTCCCTGGCAGTCGTGTCTAAGCTCCCCGGCGCCGCTGCCTGAAAATATCGATCGTCTGTCGCTTGTCTCCCACGTGGCCGGCTGGCACAGGGCTGACAGATGTGTCCGTCTTTTGCTGCCGTGTCCTGTCATTCCTGCTGCACTAACCCACGTGCTCCTCACAGTCCCCAAATGACATACTGTTTGGGAGGACTTCACGGAACGGCAGAGCTTTCGTGTCGTGTCGCTGTGTTTCGGTAGTCGTGTTGTTTACTGTTGGCCCGCTTGGCCGGTCAGACACGATAAGTTGTCGCGGTCGGTGGCTGCCGCGCTTGGCACGGAACTGCTCCTGTTTGTAGTGATCCCTCAGAGTCCCCCACGGTTGTAGCGTGTTGCGGAACACGTGCACTGTGTCCCCGTCGGCCAGCTGTCTGGTCTGTCTTCTGCGGCGTCTGGGACCGCCGACAACACGGCGGGCGGGGCTGGCCATGGCCCATGATTTCATCAGGCACCCCGGCCCGGTGAATGGGATAGAAAGCTGGTCGGCGGCGCGGCGCTGTGCAGTGTGGGACCGGGGACGGTGTTCTGTCACTCAGCAGCGTCACATGGCCCGTGAGGTCATTGGGGACGGCTTCAGACGTCCTGAGAGGATCTCGGATCGGCGCCGGGCTACTGATGGGGATGGTAAGATGGAGGACGCACGAGGCGATTCATGGTCGGAGTTCGACCGCCCGGTTACGTAAACACGGACTTTGTCAGTGATTGCGTGCTGGCAGGGTGGTCAGAAGCCTAAAGCGTCGCTGACCCATTTGGATTCTGTGCAAGTGATGTAATGATGCATTTTTCGTTCTACCCGTGTGTGGGTTATAAACAATGTGACGAAATGGTATAGCGATCATGCAACCATCTTGACATCCTGTCGGACAACTATCTTATCTTAGATTATACGTGAACAAGTTTGTTGATTATAATGCTTCACTATCAATTTTAAATGTTCTCTCTTCAAATATGTAAAAGATTTGATCTCTTTATGACATTATCTTTCTGTAAACGGTTTTTGTCTGGTGGGCCTCAGCCTTTTCCAGTCGGTTGTTGGCGGCTGGTCCGGATCAAGCTGTCCCAAAAAGTGTCCAAAAAGCTGACGGTGTCACGACCGGTGACCGCTTCTGGTCAATGTCCGGACGTCGTCTGGCTGGTCGGTGATCAGAGCGGAGCGGTCGGGTGTCTGCCCCGCCGGCAGGGGCGGCACCAGGCCGGTCAGGACGGGGAGTCACTAAGGACAGACCCACCCCCAATCGTCGGCCGTCCCCTCCGGATCAGGATAGATACACCCCTAACCGTGAGCCGTCTCCGCCCGACGGGGGTGGTGACTGGACGGTAATGTGGTCCTCTGGTCACCTCTCGGCTGCGGGCGCCCCGCTGTGAGCAGGGTCACCGATCAGCTCAGACCCTCTTGGCCGGATGGAGGCCCGATCCCGGGACACGTGCCGCCTCTGGAGCCAGAGCGGAGAATGGGAGAGAGGGAGGGAGCGTCCGGCGGACACTTTTTGTGGGCCTGGCGGAGAATGAGGTCCCTGACGTGCCAGGGCGACTGGGGTTTTAGTGGAGGCTCGTTGTGGAAGCGGCCATTTTGGGGCGTTGGTATTGTATGGCCCGCCCTCAGACCGATAACACAAACAGAAAAAGATGGGGGCAGGATGCTCAACGCCCTTACAAGATTATATAAAAAATCGTCCAAACCACAGACGTGTACATTTCCAGGATCTCAGAATTACGGCTAGTTTGATCCCTCCCCACGCGAACAGATGGATGTCGATACCTGTATCTGTCCCCATCGGGACAAAGGAAATGTGAGCCGCACGCAATCCCTTCAAAATTATGGTATAATATCACGTTTATCGGCTCTGCCCTCCGGCAGTTTGTTGTTGTTGAGTCTATCGTCGGCTTTGACCTACTAAAACGTTGTTCGATCGCTCATCACACAGCTTATTTG